CCTAGGTAGATTAAGTATAATTCGTACCCTGTGTGAGCATGCGTTGTATCTTTGTCCTTCAAGACCGAGTGAACCTGTGAACCTTAGATTCTTGTAATTTAATCCAATGTGTGACTCTGTCCTTCTCTGAAAATAGAGATAAAACAAACAAAAGATAAACACAGTCCCAAAAATACAAAGAAGAAAGTCTGATTTTCTCTTTTGTTAACCACCTCTTGACCACTCAGACTTGTGTTGTGTTGGAATACAGAATCGGGAAGCACTGGGTCATGTAGTTGCTCAGAGAACTGGAGTCACTACGAGGTTGTTTTCATATTCAGAGAGAGAAAAAAGAAACTAAAATACAGTACAAGAGACAAGCATGAATCAGAGGCTGACTGGCTTTTTTATACCGTGACGTGCTTTGCCCTGACTTGTCTTTATTCCCAGTGACTCCCAGCAGGCAGTAAAGTACCAGTTAGAGGGCGCGACAGGCATGAAGCAGTCGTGGTCGTTTGGATATTGCATACAAATTGCCCCCGCGAGTCTTATTCTAGCAGGCTTGGCCTCACTGGCTAATGTGTTTTATGTAAGTAAAATCAACCCATTAGTGAAGCCAGTGAGGTAAAGAAGTGGAGGATAGAGGTATAAGTAAGGCGTTGTCTTTAATTCACTGCTCACATCTCCTGGCACTCCTCAGTGTCATCCTTCTGCCTCAGTGTGTGAGTCAGAGTTTTACACTCCAGCGCAGAGGAGACTGACTCATGCAGCCTAAAGTCATACAGAACAGACGCACACATCCTGATGACACATCCGGTAACATGTTATCAGAGGACGTTTCACAGAGGACGCACACCGAAAGAGAAACGCTGATGTGATTTATAGTATCTGCAGGCTAAGGTGGAGAACTGTAGGAAATGACGGGGGTCACCAGTCACCTCTGTCCCCTCACTCGGGGTGGAACATCGCACCAAACACCTCGTCAGAACTGTGCCCCACTTCTGCGTTTCACCAACTCGTGGCAGTCGAGTTTTTAATCGCGTACGACTGTCAAGACAGCCCGCCACATGTTTCGGTTTTTCCGTCTGAAATCCCGTTTGGATGCTTAGTCAAAGCAAACTGCTTTTCATGCATTTCAGCCACTTATCTTGAGCACACATGCACGTCTTAATTAGCTCTCAGACGATGCAGATCAAACGTTTTTTTTTTTCCCTCCCTGAGACGCGTTCGCTCTGATCCTCGCATCACTCTTACGTGTGGCTTACTTTCCTCTCTTCTTCTTCATGGCGTGTTAGAGAAGGTGGTGGTGCTTGAAATGTTTTGATATTTTCATGTTAAGAGGAGGGATTATAATGTAAAGCTATGTCCACTTCTTTTCTGTTTGCTCTTTTATGCGCACCTCTAGAGACTGAACATATACACGATCATCCGACAGAGGAGCACGATTGAGGTCTGTGATCCTCATCTGGCATCACATGGCTGAAGGACGGGGTAATTGATGGTTGCAGAGAGCTAGAAATAGGGATAAAAAAAAAAAAACAACTGGAGCAAGAGGAGAGAGAACGAAGGATGGATGGGCAGTGGTGGAGGTGCAAGAGGGGCTTGTTGCATCCTGCTGCCTTTTACCCATCCCCTAATTGCTCAGTATTTATGGTGGGAGGAGTGGTATGTGTGGGCAACATGCCTCTCCACATATACACACCCAAAACCAAGATACACACTAAGAGTTGCCGTCACTCTGGAGGGAGTCATTTGTGCTCGCAGGAGGTCGGTGGGAGGCTTTTACGGGCCGTTATGTAGCTGTCTCGCTATTCCTGGAAGAGCATTGGTATCTTTTGATCAAATTCCACCCCACTCTCAGTAACCTGCTTCCTATGAATTGTGGGCTAATTGTGCCGTGTGGGTTTTGTGTGATTGTGTGTATGTGTGTGTGTGTGTGTGTGTGTGTGTGTGTGTGTGTGTGTGTGTGTGTCTGGGTGAGCAGAGGCCTCTACCCTTGATTGATTGTTGTCATCTTGCTGGATTATTGAGTTAGCAGCGTACGTGATAGGCTTACTGCAGCATCTCAGAGAAGAGAACACGCACATATGCACAGACTTCATACCTGTATGCACCTCTAACTCAACGGTTGGCGGTAATATTTCAGGGCTGTGTGTAAGTATCACGGGATTTGAAGTATGTTTGTTGGATGGATAAAATATTGTGCATACTAACATGACCAGTGTGGCAGCAGACCAAGTGGATTTTTACATGTGAGACAAAGTGAGAGAAATATTTTTACAGTCAATCTAAATGTTTCAGTCCAGTCTGATTTAGCTGATTAGAAAAAGACAGTGTGTAACCCCACAAATGTCTTCACTCTTTTAGGCGTTTCATTATTTCAGTGTAAAAAAAAGTTGTACCCAGATAAGACCCTGAGGCTTTTGGCATTTATCTAGCCAAATACAATAAAAGTTGTGTAATAGATTTTGCAAAGCCTTTGGGTCTCTTTTTTTCCCACTAGGATTACCAGAGGACATTCTGAGAACTCAACTCCACCGACTTCAGCATGATAAAATTGCGTACTATCTTCCTTCCTGTTATTTCCTCTGTCCTCTCCTCATTTTTTTTTTTCCATGTCTCTGCGCCACTCAAGTAATCATTGTTGAGTTGGTCTTAGGGGCAACGTATGACCAGATGAAGTATATGAAGAGTTAATTTGCTCAGTATTTCAGGAAAAACAGTGTCCAGAAAAACAGACCAAACAACCCAGGGCAGAGCAAACTTTTAGTAAATACAGGATAAACAGACCAGAAAGTTACATGCCTTTCACCGGAAAGGAAAGGATGTAACAAGCGTGGCAGCTTTTCCCTTTGGGGCTTCCTGACAAGGAGAACTTAACCTGACAGGAACATACAAAAAACATTGAACAGTTCTGACCACAACAGCTCACAGTATGCAAATACTCGATGTGAAAGCAGCAAAAGCCGACTAGATTCTCCAAAGTGTGGCTCCTCGGGCCAGTAAATACGACCAGATGAGCTGTGATTGGCTGCAGGATCTCAGATTCATCATTATTGTCAGCTGAGGTGACTCATTAATATCATTGATCGGGTTTTAAATTACCTCCCTCACATGTTTGTCCTTGAAGGCATTTTGATGCAGGAGGGAGTGTGACTGTCATTTACATTTTCTTATGTCTTCATTAAATGAGAGGGAATTAATTCTGATATTTGTCCAGACATTTATCTAAAAGTCATTGCTGACTAATAACACTACAAACGGTGTTGGTTCAAAAGGATCAGGGCTGTTAACAGACCCCAAAAATTAACTGCAGCCTGGTGGCATCTCATCTTCACTGACATCCTCCCGCATGAGTTCTCTACCTATAACCCAGAGCCGACCGGAAGATTTACGACTCTTTTGGCTTTATTCAGTTCCTTCGGTCCTATCTCTATCCAGGGGACAGACAGAGGGTATTACAAGGGAAGGAGCTCAGTCGTGTTAACATGTCACTTGTGATTTTCTCTGCATTTTTTTGCTGATCTTGCCTTTTTTTTTTCATAAAGATTCTCCCTATCCACTTAAGTTTTATATCCCAACCATCATTCTTTCTTTTTTTCCCCTTCCACTGCCACCAGAAGGCTTAATCTTTAGAGATATTCCTTGACTTTGGTGCGATAAAGCTCGGCGCGTGTCGCGGTTCGCTCACCTCGCCCTTTTGTTGCTTCACACCCTGCATGTGGAGTTATTGCCTTTGCCCTCCACGCAAAGAAGCGTTCATTTTTAATTATCACTCACTATTTGATCATCTCCCCCCCTCCTCCCCTTTGCCTGTCACAATGTCTCATCGAGTAGCTGGTAACATTTCCATTACATTAGGAAGAGCAGCCGGCGCTGTGTGTCGAGTGTGTGTGATGTGTGTCTGCGCGGATGCGTTTGGTGTTTCGGTGTGCTCCTATCATTGCGGCAGCGACGAGATTTCCCCCTCCCCTCATCCATCTTCAAGCGCTTGGCTGTAAATGACATGTCAACACACAACGTAACACATCGTTGCTTGAGACACACACGCGCACAAACTGGGAATGGAATGGAATTGGTTTGGCAATGGAATTTTAATTAAATGGTTCGCACCCCCTCCCTGTATTTTCCTCCAAATGGCATGCTAATTGAGTTGATGCAAATAGGGACTCGCAGTCTTAAAGGTTCAAATTGCTTTGTTTTGTCCTTTTTTTGCACAAAATATTGCACGCAAAGATCTTGGGTAGAAGCAAGGGAGACAGAGACTGAATTTGTGGATGACAGTTAAATAAAAAGAAAAGGACCTCATGATTGAATCAGTCTTGTGTAAGTAAAAGGAACTGGCCCTAAACCAGTATTGACATAGTGGACAGGATAATCCTGCGCTGGGATAACTGGAATTTCTCATTTCATTGCAGAGGGTTTAACATTGCAAGTGAATGTGTGCGTGCATGTTTACACTGTGAGCACATATTTTACTAAGTGCCTAAGCTCGCTGCAGTGGCATTATTAAAGAAGGCCCCTCACCCCCCATAAAGTTTCCCAGAGCATTCTCATTCCTGGCAGCCGCTGGCAGGAAGGTTGGAAATAGCGATCTCCACTTTAGCTCAGCAGGGGTTGAATCGATAAATCTGTCATTGTTTATTTTATAAAAACTTCTAGTCTTCACCTCGGGGCGCTCCCACCGTTAGAGTCTAAACACTCAAGCTGTTCATGTGGCTCAATGTGGGGGTTTTTTTGGCCAGTTGCTGCAAGGTGAACACATACTGTCTACAATAAACTGTTCAGAATACATGTTGAGAAATGTTCACTTTTCTTTATCGCTCCGTATTGATCATCTCTCTCCAACCAAGACCACATTTGTCTGTGTGTGTTTCTTTTATTTTAGGGTTGTTTCATGATTTGTGAAGCAATTTCAAAATGTTTCTTGCAGTTCACTTTTGCAGGAGAAAAGGCAGTTTGCTTCCAGTTTATGTGATCCTCATAACATGTTTGTCTTTCTTCTTCCGCTCACTCTTTAGGTACTGGCCTTAGAAAGACAGGTCTTCGACTTCCTTGGCTACCAGTGGGCCCCCATCCTCGCCAACTTCTTCCACATCATTATCGTCATCCTTGGCCTCTTTGGCACCATCCAGTACCGGCCGCGCTACATCATTGTGGTGAGTACACATAATGTAAAACACATTCGACTTGTAGTTCGCTTGAAACTCTGTACAGTCTGTCGCATAATCCTATTCCTTGAGGTTTTTGTTAAGCGCCGTCACATCACTTTGCATTAGCCCTCTGTCTGTGCATGTCCTGTGGATCGGACGTGTTGTTGCCTTTCCACTCTAATTGCAAACGGTGCTGCAGTCTTTTGTGCATTGTGCGACACCCTTAAATCACTCTAATCCCTTGGTAATTAGGGCTAATTAAAGGGGGTGGGATCTTGGGGGGGACTAAGGAGCTCATCAGATTTATACTCGACTTCAAGTTTCTGGACAGAGAAGGTCATTCTTTTAGAGCACAATGCAAAGCATGTGCTGCCTGTTGTTCTCTACTTTGTTAGAAAGCACTTCTGCGAAGCTTCATAAATGCGCTTTTACGCAATTCGGGTTTTTATTTGACACCGTAATGTTCATCTGAGGCATTAAAAGCCTATTTTGAGCTGCATTAGTGGAAGCACAGATGGTGATGTTAATGACAGGAAAAGATTGGGGGAGCGAGAAAAGCGATAGAGGAAGAGAGTAAATAACGAGAGACAGGGGAGATAAAGGAGGATAAACGGGAACCATGCAGGATAAGATGGAGAAACACAGGAAGCAGGAATGGAAGGGAGGAGAGGAGGGGAAGGGGAAAGTTGGAGCTATTGTCTCATGTCAAGTGGAAAATGGGAGAGCGCAAGCTAAGGGGTTTCATGATTCGACACGTATGTTTTTACGGAGGTGCTGTTTTGCCCTTCGCTCTTCCTCTGACATTTTAAACACACAGTTTATTGTGAGTCAGAGGATTTCACAACCTTCACTCTGATGACTCCAGTGAATGCCGCTCAGTACCAATGTGCGTCTGTCAACAGTTGGCTGTCTGACTGTACAATTTTGTAAATGGTTGAGTCGTGAACTTCATTCAGCCTCAGCGGTTTAAAAAAAAAAAAAACAACCTGCAGCACCCTCAGGGCTCAAATAGACTTGCTGAACTTACTGGCATCTTTCAAAAGGCAAGGCACTTGCATACAAATTTATATGTGTGTATAATGTTTGCAGGTGTAAAGAGCATGCTGGTGCTGAAGAGGACACTTGTTCATTCAGCTTGCCATTTATTCAGTAGCTGTTATATTTTTGTTCAGTCCAATTCATGCAGTTTGCCTAAAGTGAATCTGTATGTGTGTGTTTGCCCTCCAGTACACAGTATGGGCCGCGCTCTGGGTCGCCTGGAACGTCTTCGTCATCTGTTTCTACCTGGATGTAGGAGGCCTGTCCAAGGTGAGACTTTCAAAATTTCAGTTTGTCAGCCAAGTCAAGTGGCCTCGCCTGTACTGTGATAAATGTTTGTTTCTTTTTAAGGTCATGGTTGCAGGTCAAGTGAAATCTGATTTACATCCCTTTGGCCAAGAGCTTTTCCACCCACTCTGCAGGTGTCTTTAGATGCATCAAAAACCTGTTTATTACGGAAGTTGACTATGGCCACAGAAAGTAATTTCTGATTTACTGACAACTGTCCACTGCAGTCAAATCACAGGACACTGCAAAAAAGTTTAACCACTGTCCTGAATCTATGCACAGATGCAACATGTCTATCTACAGCTAGATGCCACATGTCCTGTCTGTTAACATCCAAGTTAAACTGAAGGTTTATAAGCATTATTTCCCCAGTTGCTGCTTGCTAACAGACGAACAAGCCCCCACTTCATGTAAAAACAACAAAAAGCAAAAACAAAATAGCTAATAATTTTGGCACCGCTTAGTTTTCGTCTGTGGTATTGGGCCATTGTATAAACAACAACAGGACAAAAATAGTGTTTGCACACTGAATTGCAAAGTCTATTTGTCCCTTAATCTTTTTGTGTGTTGGCAGTTTGATGTGGTAAGTTGGAATATATATGTATTTTTTCAATTTATTAAAATGTTGGTGGCGTGTGGACGGTTTTCCTCCCCGTCTGAATGTAGTGTTGATAAGATGGGATGGAGGAGGTCAAACAGGGTTCCACCATACTGGAAGGCACTTGTGTTGTTCTCAGCAGCCACACTCAAATAAGGAATGAAAAGCTCATCACAGAAGAAGGACAAATGTGACAATCTATTTGCAATATGGGGATATTGGCAAATACATTCAGAAAACCTTTTCTTCTTGCCACCTCATACCAGGCCAGTCACGAAGCAAACTTCCCGTGAATGGTTGATTGTCAGTTTCTATAAGTTACAAAATTGGCTGGATGGGCTCCAACCCCCAGTTATAACGTCAGAAAAGTTTTTGAAACTCTTCGAACATGCAAGAAGCACTCCTGATGGAGAAATACTAGCACCTTGATTAACTTTTCTGTTTTTCAATAGTTCCTCAGACATTCTTGCCGCCATCAAAGCTGTTTCTCATATAAACCGTGACGGTATAGTTGCTGCTCCCAAAGAGAATAAAAGAGTGGGTCCAATTCTCAACAGAACAGAGACGAGTAGGGGCAAAGATGGTTCTCTGAAAAGAAAAAAACATATCATTCTTGTCTTTGCCAAGATAAAGCCTCTAGGCGTAGCTTTTGTTGTTTTTCCAAAAAATTATTCAGCTTAATTCTGACATTGTGCCAGTGTTGTTTTTTATTGCACCAGCTTCTACCAATAAGAACTGTATAGCTATAAAATTTAAAAGCATAATTAAGGTTTCTTGCGCTTTATCAGCACAGAACTTATATTTTCAATCTAATTAGATATGATGCACTGCCACCAGGTGCTTTCTGTTTGCATCAAGCCTGAAGGCCTCGGAGTGAATAAGTGAGTACAAATACTTACAGTGTATAATGAATGCGTGACATCTTGTATGAATCCAACACTGAGCTATAAATCACCCGATGAGCTTTAGGAGTCTGTGCAGCGTACACCCACAACAAGGCCTTGAAGAATGTTTTTTATTTTATTTGTTATTTTCTGCCTCATCCATTTCTGCTGACCTATGGGGGACTTCCCTGCTGAGTTTCAAGTGGAAGCTTAAAACTTAATAGGTATATAATCAGGACCGATTCCCCTCCCTAAGCGCCGTGCAACACACACACACACACACACACACAGTTTTAATTCTCTGTGGACCCCCCGTGGTTCCTGAGTGCGGATCAGATGCGTATTCATCCAGACAAAGGCAAGTGTTTGGATTTGTCACCTCCTAACAACCTGTAGATATATCCAACCTCTCGCCTCCTGCCAACTTCTCTTTCTTTTTACATTGTTTGCTGCTCCTTTGATGTTTTTTTTTTTTGAAAGTCCAAATCATTTCATTGTAGTTCAAACCTCCTCTCCTCTCCTGCCCAGTTGCCTGCCTTGACCACTGAGAATAATGAATTCATGTAGGCGACGTTCATCTGACACCTGCTCCGACAGCCAAAATGAGTTTCAGAAACACCTTCCCAGACTCTGGCGACTTTGTCATTGTGTGATAGTCCTTGGCTCCATCAAGTGTGTCAGTCTCTCGCTGCATATGTCTGTGTGTGTCCACTATGTGTGTGTGTGTGTGTGCGGTTGTATGTTCCTGCATGGTTCCTGCTAGAATAATGAGGCTTGTAGGGGCCAGCTGCTTGGGGCTGAGGCTGGGCATTAACCCGACAGATGGAGCCAGCCTGGGCTCCGAGCTCCGCATATGGTGGCCAGGAGGAGAGCTGGCTAATGGAGCGCGCACACACACACCCCAACACACCCCGCACGCGCACACACTCGACCGCACAGCTTCCTGCGAGGACCCCAACACATTTTATCATAAAACTAGAGTCAGCTAATTCTGTCAGGCCTGCCTTGACCGATGTTGACAGGACAGTACTGGAGGGTGTGTGTGTGTGTGTGTGTATGTACGCAAGCATGTGTGGGTGGTGGCTGCTCTGAAGGCCCTCAGAGTGAGGGGGCAGGTTGTCAGAGTCATATGCCACATGCTCTGTCACCTCCTATTGATCCCTTATCCCCTCCCCCACAGCGCAAGACAGACCGACAGACAGACCCCTGCCACTCTGCCTACACTTAAACAGTCCCCAGTTATTCACTGCCTCTCTTTTTTTTTTCTTTTTCTTTATTCATTCTCGGTCACAGTCTGCACACAGTGACTGCAGACATACAGGTTTTGGGGGATGGCACCGGCAAGCTGTCTGAATTTGAAAATCTTTCTGTCACCATTTTTCCATTTCACACTTCTGTAATTGAGTTTTTGAAGATGTCTTCCCTAAACATGCTAATTAATTTTAGAAAATCTTTCAAATCTTTTATATCTTCTCCCGTTTGGGGAAAGTAAAAAGGTTGTGCACAGCAGGTAGTCACTTATATAGATAGCAAAGGTGGTTTTTTTTGTTTTTTTTTCTCACTTCCAGGTGTTTTAGTCTTTAGTTTTAGTCACTCTTTTGATTTTGGGTATGTTGAATATCTCTATAATTTCATGAGACTTTTGTTTTCTAAACTATGTGATTTTCATGACCTAAAATTGTCAAGCGCTAGTCATAAACTGATCTAACTGAAGGAATACAACTTGACCGGATAGACCACTATCAAATCCCAAACACTGGTTTTGCATTTGGTGTGGGTTGATGACATATAGCTGCATGGTGGGTCTGTCTGTGATCGATCATTTTGATTGCTCATGTAGCTGATCATGACATGTACTTATGGTTAATTTGTCAGATAGCTTTAGTGATTATAAAACAGGGACCTGCCGTATCAGTGTAACAGTGCAGGGGTTGTTCTTGTTTTAGCTTGGTCAGCAGATAGCATTCATGAGAAATGATCACCTCACAGTTTTAAGACTTTATCAGCTGTCGGACAACAGAAACAGAAATAATTTTAACAACTACTACATTGTGTTTTCAGACATTTTAATCCCTGGAAACAAAAATTTAAATTTTTTTGTAAAATAAATAAGCAAAGAAATCCAACTTTATTTTTTTCTTGTTTGTATGATTTATGACATAACTTTGTGGAACTGCACAACATACATTTTGTTTTTAGTTCTCTCTACTTCATTCCATGGTTGTGTTTTTGCAGTAGAGAAGCAGGACTTTATATTGCAGTCACAATGAGCCCACAGTAAGCAAAAATGTGACAAAAAAATTAATAAATACAAATTTTGAAAAATCAGCCCAAAAACTGCTTGGAGTTCAAAAGGTTAAAACAAAAATTCTGATATGATTTTATATTTGAGGTTTTCATATTCATCCTTATCCACATTACTATGGATGTGGTCTAACAGTCCTCAGCTTGAGGATCTCTCCCTCAGCCATCCGGTTTGGTTTTGGAGATGACAGCAGACCACCAGTAACTCCAAATACTAAACTGATTCACAACTACTGTGTACATTTGAGTAAATATGAGACTCATCAGACCCAAAGAAGTCATGTCTTTCCCTCCCCAATATGATCGTGCAAACATAAAGTCTTATCTCTGTATTTCAGCAACAGCAAATTATTGGAAATAAGATTCTAATCATGTGATGTTTAGCTTTCTGGACTGCCGTATATCTCCAGTGATATCACTACCAGCACTGTCTCTCGATATGTTTTTGTTAGAAAATAGTTTGAGAAATATCAGTAGACTAACCTTGAATCTATGATATGAATGAATTGATTTCTGCTTTGGGGTGCATGGGAGCATAACAAGAACACTCCTGACAGTAAGTTGCCAAAAGCCTCTTCAGTATCGACTGCCGACGTGCTGCAGTCGTGAGTGCGGCTACAGCTTGGATAGAGATGGTTTCCCTTGCTCGCAGGGTCAATCAATGGCATCTGTCAAGTCATTAGTCTTTGTGATCCTACCTATTGACCTTCAGCTGCCCTTGTTTTTGTGACCGTGTGGGAGAAAACAACAGAATGAAAGCCACAGCAAATAAGAGAGACAGGATGATGATAGGTGATCAGCAAGAAGAAAGCAAAATGACAGAGTATCATTACTGTAATATTGTTCATGACTCCTGATGCACTTTTCCTCTGACTCCAGAGGTATTGAAAGTTGTTGCTCCCAGTGTTATTATATATATATGTATATATGTGTGTGTGTGTGTTGTTGATGTGTCCAGTATGTGGGGGTTGATAGGAATCAGAGATGTTTCCTGACAGCACTTGGCTCCGTTAATAATGCATGTCTTGTCACTGAGGGCCAGATGCGGGGTTAGATTGCTGTATTGGGGTATTGATTGATTTGAGTGTCTGCATGTCTGTATGTGTGGGCTCATATGGCCTTGTGCAAATTGAACATCTCCATGGTGTAGAAGAGTTACAGGTATAAAATGCTCAGAAGTTGCAAAACTTCACTCTGAAACAGAAAGTCTGTCGGCTCAGGTGTATGCATGTCAGATCCTCTTAACTGTCAGTCATCTGTTAACATTGTTAAAGACTTAATTAACACATATTTGGAGATAAATGTTTATCTGACCACGCTTTGGTTATATTGGCCTGATTTTGAGATATCAGTCACTTGAAATTTCTACCTTCAACCCCAAACTATTGAAGTACATGCTTTAGAGTGCCAGCAGCAGTGACAAAACACATTTCAAAATGTCAGCAGGAGAAGCACATTGTTATTTATTCACACGATAGTTGACTGTGAAGTCTAAATTGTCCTGAGAAACAGATACATCATTTCTGGATACCTGATTTGAATTAAGTGTAATGTTGTAATGCTTTGAGCACCACAGACAAATTCCATTCATCTCAGTTGTAGTGGGATGACAGCAGAAACCTGAACCTGCAAATCCAAAACATGGATAAATACTGTTTGTGATAAGTACAGTGTTTATAGCCACGCTGTAGTGGCATGGCTTTAGAGACAAGCAATTCATCACTTCGTTTCACTGAAATATGTCCTTGCCATGAAATATTTTACAAACGTTCATGGTCCCCAGAGGATAAATCATTATGACCTTTGTTATCTCTTGACTTTCCCTCCAGACTGACATTTATGGTTTTCCCTGAAACATTTTTATCCAGTTGTTTGGATGTCTATGGTTTGGAGATTCACCAGATGGTTGCACTTATGGGCAGTGCTGCTTGGCATAATGCTAGCAGGCTAACACATAAGAAAGATGTTGAACATGGCAAAGCTTGAATATTACAGCTACAAATGATTTCTGTTTTCTGTTATCATTATTATTCCCAAAGATATTTAGCTTACACTCATAAACTAATAAAGCAACAAAAAAAAAATAATTTCAAATGCTGAAATCTGAAGCTTTGCATTTTGTTTACTAATTAATCTATCAAAGTGGTTGGAGATTCATTTAATAGTTTGCAACTATTGATTATGCTTTGCAACTCTCATGAATATGTTAGTATTGCTGTTATTGTAATGTTAGCATGTTGGTGTTTAACATGATTTAACATTTAACATGAATAAAGCTCTGCAGAGCCACGAGCGTTGCTGTAGATGCTTAGTCTTATTTGTAGCTGGATGAACAACCCTTTGAGCAAAGGAGCACAGCCATAAAAAAAACATCCAACATCTGCTGTAAGTTTCCAGAGTCAAGCTCCCTGCCTCGTGAATAACCTTTCTTGTGATCCAGCCGGGGTTTCCTTATAAAGAATAAATGAATGTACATCCTAAGTGAAGCGAAGATGTTAATTTTTTTTTCTTCTTCTTCCTCTGCTTTTTCTTCCAGGACAGTGACCTGCTGACATTTAACATCTCAGCCCACCACTCCTGGTGGAGCGAACATGGGCCCGGCTGCGTGAGGAGAGAGATGCCACAGGCTCCGGGGGTCCGGACCACGGAGAGCCACTCCTACATCACTGTCATGGGCTGCCTCATGGACTACCAGTACATCGAGGTCATGCATAGCGGCACACAGATTCTTGTTGCTGTGAGTACAAGTTAACGCAGCGCTGACATATTCACAGGAAGACGCCACACTTGTACGTGTGTGCACATGACTGGGGTTTGAAAGGTGAACATTCTGGGATAGAAGCAGTTTTTGTTTCTCCTTCAAGCTTTTTTTTTTTTTTTTCCTCTCAGAGTATTTCCACCGTTACTTTGTCTACCTCAACCTGCCTTCCTCTGCCCCGGTCGTTGAATGAAAAATTGATCTGTTGTTTTGTCTGGCTGGGGCTCAGACCTGCCAGCTGCTAACAGGTTATTCAAACACTGGAAGGACTGTTATTGTCCTCTTTATGCAGCTCACTATCAATACACCGGAGAGTCACATCCTGCCAGCGTTCACATTTGCACACACCCATGTATGACCGACTAACCTCGTCCTGGACGGGTGCCAGGACGCTCTCAGTCGCCGGCGCAGCAGGTACTCGGGCGGAGGCATGCACGATAGCGCGCGTTTACTCATAGTGATGCTCACTTACACTTCGACTCTGTTGCAGCTACACACTTATTTTCCTCAGTCATCATCCTTTTAAAGTACATGTGGAGAAGTTAATGGTGTCAGTAGGTGACTGGTAGAAAGAGAGAGCGAATATGCAGCGACCTGAGCCACCGTATAGCAGCGGGTTTACCATCTAATCTTAGAATAATTTACACTTGGGAAAGCACTGTGAATGCAGTTAACTACACGGTAGATTAGAAGCTAGCAGAGGCGCACAGTGCTGAGAAGCGCTGGATTGTACCATTCATCCCATCACCCCCGTGGAGAAAGGTAATAAAATGGCTGACCTCACTTTACAGCCCCAACACTCTTGCTGAACCTCATTAGCCCTTGCAGTATAGGCAGTGAATTGGTTCATTCCTTGCCACGCTTCGACCTCTACTCCTCCATTTGAGATAGCGACATCCTTTTCTCCTGCATTTTTACATGATATTTTTCCAACCAAGCATTCAGCTGCAACTTCCCTGGGAGCAGCTCCCAGGAGCAGCAGAGAAATTGGTGCTGAAATCCCAGAGTCACAAGTGGCATGATTTTCCTTGTATCCTCGCTTCCTCCCAGGCTAAATGCAATGTACTGCTTAGGAAAAATAGACTCCTTTGAGATGTCCACTCCCTTTTTTTTTTTTCCTTTTTGATAGGCCCAGACAGAAAGAAAAGAAAAGGAACAAAGTAGGGGTGTCCCTTTGTCTTTGTTACAGGGGTTTCAAGGTCGCAGCGAGAGGCCATTAAATATTTAGTTTGGGCTCCAAGGAGCATGTTTCATTAAGATGAAAAATGTGGATCCATTGGCCAGTAATGGAGGCATCACTGTCATCTATCTACTCAGATTTGTCATGAGCTAGAGGGAAGTAATTCAGAAGTGAAGCCGTAGATTTGGTAAAGTCACTTCTGTTTAGTTGCTTATTGCTGCCTCAGGCAACATTCAGCCAAAAAGTACCTTCACGATTTAAAGGATGAGCTTGAAGTGGAGTCAAGTTTTTTCAAACTGGGATAATGCATTATTCATTTACCACTGAAGGGAATATTTTGCTCCATCTCTGCCTTTCTATTATTTGTTGACTACACCGACTCCTTATATTGCTGTTGAGCAGCTTTGGTTTTCTGCCTGCTGCCATAAGACCGAGTAATTATTCCATCAATGTTCCCTTTTTTCCCCCCTCTGTCTGTATCTTCCCATGTACCTGCCTTCTTCTCTTGCTACTGTGCACCACCTGTTAAATAAAACAGTCAGAGAGAAAAAGCATCTCCGGTGAGATGGACGGCAGTTGGGAAGAAAGGTTACGAGAGAAAGGAAGAAAAGTGGTGCAAGACGTGATATTTAGTTTACATCTGTAGACATAACTCTTACACGCTAAAGGGAGTCGTGAAAGATGTCGAGGGGTTGTCAGGGCTGCCGAGCTCCTCAGCCAGCAGCCAAAGCAAAGGGCTCTCGTGTACACACACACAGCTATGATATCATTTAACGTAGGTTATTGCTGCCACAGGCAACGCTTTCTTCTGTTCTATCTCTATTCCCTGGAAACCTGCACTGGGTGGAAGATGATAACAGGAGGCCTGCGTCATTCTCTCGTTCCATTGCTCATTTCCTCTATTTTCATGTTTCACCACCCCACAATCACAATCTCTCAGCTCAATCTGCCTTCCTGCCTCGTTTTCCTGCCCAAAATCTCACACTGTTTGACCTTCATATCTGTCAAAATTCCACCAACTTAAACAAAAGTGCGTTTTTTTTTTTTCACTGTCACTTTTGCTGCCTCTCTGACTTTTTCTCTGGAGCTTCGATGGCTCTATTAGTTTTCTGTCTGTGTTTAAGTGCGGCTTGTTTAACGGCGACACCGGGTTAATGCAGAGGGGGATGATGAACAGCCCCCTGGTTGATTAGAGGGGTCGGTGTGTGTTTTGTGGCTGTTGAGGTTCACTCAGCTCAGCAGCATGAAAACAGTCTGACCACCCCCCACCCACCCACCCCCCCATCCCCTCATCCAAACCAAAAGGTCAGGCTTCTCGCTTTGGTGAGTCCATTAGTCCACGTTCAGTTTCCTAACTTTAATGCTGAACAACTAGCCATTCTAGAAAAGCACATTTTTTTGTATTTGTGCGCATACTGCACGGGGGATCTTTGATGTGCATCTATTTGAAGTCCAGTGATTTGTCCAGAATCACTAAATCGCATTGTGTAGTGTAATAATAGCATAAAGCGCTTCTGCAATATGTCAGCCCTGACATTACATTGTAACTGTGCTGTAAATTTTACAGCATCTGCTTCAAAGGATTATAAAGATCCCAGGATTAAAAGACTTACGATGCTGCAGCTAGCAGTTATTAGGGCTGTTGGCTGCTGCCAGAAAAAAACAGAGGAGGACAAGAGAAAGACCTCAAGACCAGAGGAAAGAATTAGTCTCCAGTGGGCCGCTGAATATTGTGTCAGGCTACTCGCAGTATATCATAAAAAACATGACCGCCCGCCATTTTACTTCAAAGGCTGCCTTGGCCGAGAGCTTTAATTGTTAATCTGTTTTTGCGGGGAAATGGATTTTCCTCAGATTAATTTTACTATAATATTTGCTCTTTTTAAACTTCTGAGAGGAAGCACAAAGACGAGGGAACAAAGGAGAACTTGGAAGTGGAAAACAAGCAACTTTAACAGAACAAATCTTCTCCAGTGCCATGCTTGCTCTTTCTCCCTGCTCGCTGAGTGTGTATTGTTTTATTTGTTTATTTACCTTCTTGTTTCGCCTTCAGTTCATTAGTTTCTTGGTCCACAGAGCCCAATTTTTCTCCCTTTCGCTCAGACCTCGTGTAAAATCTTCTGTGTGGAAGACGAGCTGTGTTTTCTTTGTTTCGCGCGGCTTTTATTTCTGCATGGACGGCCTCTTGTGTTTGGGTGACATTAGCGCGCCGTTGTGTGCGGCTACTTGACGTGGAAGATGCAAATCAGCACCGCAGACTCTTAACAACCCCATGTGGTCCTGTGTACGCCGTATATCACCGTGTGCTCATGCTCACATTCGGATGTGGAAGTGGGGGGAGGGATGGTGGAGGAGAACAGGTGGATGTAGTCTCTGCAGTCCCTAACTCATCATGGTTTGTCATTAAACATGCAGCTGCTTACACACACACACACACACACACACACACATCAAACTCTTGTGCCTTATTGTCAGACCGAAATTCCTGTGTAATTAACCTACAGGATATCTGCGCCACCCGTCTCTGTTTGTCCCTCTCCCCCCACCTCTCTCCGATGTGATGTATTTTACCTACAACTTTCTTTCATTACCATGCACTCGTTGAGTTTTCTCCTGACACCGAGCCGCAATCAATAGCGTGTTAATTACCTTGTAGATGGACTCTGATACCCGTCACTGCACACACACACACGAGCAGGGCCAGTCGACCGTGAACGGGCGACGTCTTCCAGTGTATTGTATATGAAAGCAGACTGCTGAATACACAGACAAAAGACTAGAGGTATTATCTAAGGCTGCAGGTAATGATTAATTAATGCCAGTTATTTTTTTTTTTAAAGTAATCTTTAAATCGCCGTTAATCTTAATTGACAGTTCAAATTGATGTTTGAAATTCAGATGAGTATTGACAAGATCTCGCTTGACAATTACATAAACCTGCATTTCACTTCCCTTTTACGTTTGAGAGGCTGTAATTATAGTCAACGTTGGGTATTTTCAGCGACGCTAATGGCATCGGTCAGGATTACACAGCTACAGTCTGAAAAGGCCCATAGGAAGGATGTTAGGGATGCAGACCTGGGCGGTGATGATATCTCATACTGAACGCTGCAGATTTATCCAAATGATTCGCTGTGTCTAGAATAACTAAAGGGTGCGAGTGCTGGTCGTAATGTAGCTTCATGCCCGGTGGACTAATGTTTATGAGTGAATGTGCACTGTCAAAGGTGGCTGTGTCTTTTTGGATTGGCAGGTTCAGTATAAACCTGACCTTCATTAGCCTATGCAAATTCAAGGAGCCTGTTTTCTAGCTCGGCAGCTGGTTTTCTTCTCACTCACTCGCACATGAATGCATGAGTCTTTAACTTCCTTTTGGCCTCATTATCTGAGAGTAGAAACACAAATATCGCCAGACTTTCGTAGATGTGTACTTTAGTTTTCTCTGCAGTAGGGTTGTGCAATAGTCACGTGTGATGCCAAGTAAGTAAGTAAGGCAAATTAACTCAAACCCGTCATGCTACAGCTTTCTTTTTTGCCTCATGCAAAAAAAAAAAAAAGGCTAGTTTTCATTAATAATCAACAAGAGAAGTCTGTCTAATACAAAATGATTTACTTCAGTATAGGGGTTTGTTTGATCTATTTAGGAGATTTTGTGAACATGCAGGGATCTGCCCAGAAACACAGAGAGAAACACTGAAAAAGATTTGAGTGCAAAACCAAAGAAGGTATTGTCAATTTTATGGAAATATTTCTGTTACAGAAAGGATGATGTTAACCAAAAACAGGTACCACATGAGGCAAGCCAACTAATTTGTTTGACCATTTCAATTAGAACTGTGTCTTACATGTGCAGAGCTTATGAACTATTCCAGATGCCTTTGGAAGTGTTATAACATATGAAAAAAGATTCCAAGCAGCTTTTGAAAAAGTTTTAATTTTCAGTGTGAATGCGCTGCCCTACAAAATCACCCCAATCATTCTAGAAGGATTAGTTCTTTCCAAACACTTATTTTATCGGGCTAATAAATAAATAAATAAATAAATAAATAAATAAATATCCTGTTTTTAATATCACACGATATATCCCAGAAAAACAAAATCTTGCGATGTAAGTTGTCTCCAGTCTTGTACAGCTCAACTTTGAAGTATAGCAAATATTAAGTGACGGCCCATTGGAAGACAGCTTTGCTTTTTTTTGTTTTTCTGCTTCAAGCACTTAAGTTTTCTTGTCCAGTTTTCTGCCCTCTTGCTTCTTTCTGCCAGTTATCAGTTGTGCAGATCATTGTTCATTGCCCAGCAACCCAGGAGACAGAGGAGAGAAAACAAAGAGAAGAATCGTACTTGGTGTAAGAAAAAAATATAACTAGAAACTAAAAAACAGGAAGCACAGAGTGTTGGGCAGAAAGATAACAGAAGATTTGCAGATTGCAGAGTGACAGTGACATGGAGCCCTTTGTTTAGAAAGTAATAAAGAAGAGTGCAAGGAAAGAAACCAAATGACTGGCAGCCAAATGAGTTGACTTTAGCGTGGCACGTCCTCAAAGACTGACTGGGATCGAGTCACAGAGGACACTCGGGGGCTTTATGAGCTTAATTAATATGACATTAATTTATAAAATGATCCCTGAACTCCATAAGTGACAGGAGGACGTCAGTGAAGAAAGTGAGGTGTGTGTGTCTGAGTGTGTGTCTGAGTGTGTGTGTGTGTCTGAATGTTAAAGGGAGAGGCAGGCGTTTTATTAGCTTCATTTAAGGACACTTAATATGCAGTGATATGTAAGTGGAATTGTCACTTGTTATTGAGGACACTGACCTATATTGGCAGCCGCCTCCAGCAAAAAGCCCACCAAGTGTTCAGTTCTCTGATCTTATTATCTCAGTCTGCATCACGCTAAAAGTATGAAAGCTATAAAAGATGAAGACGATAATGCCAGCCATAGCATACAATGTCAGAACTTTCCAGCGGTCATCAGTTCTCGGTTGAGGGATGAGAGATGGAAGTGATCTTCTGTGGCTGACCAGTAATCGGCACACTTTCAGGGGTTGCCATTTACTGACGGTCAGTGAAGCTGTTTTCTGTAATACTTGCTAAGTATATGGGTCAATCCATCTCAAATCATCACATTTTTTTTGAAGAATTTCTGCTCATCCATCTCTGATTTGCCTGAATTTTTTATAGCATAAATATGAATGTTTATAAGGATGTTTGTGAAATTTGGATATATCAAATACTGTCCAAGATGTTGTTTTTAAAAAGCCAGTCAGCCCACTTTCAGCATGTTTTTTTTTGTGCGTTGCAGCTTGCGGCTATGTTTGAACAACAAATATCTCAGGAACTATTAAAAATAAAAGTCTGAAATTTCTCCTCATTATTTCTCACCGTGCCATTGATTCCCAATCTGGTAAGCTGAAATATGAAAAAGTCATTGAAGCCATCATGAAAAGTCCCATCTTAGAGCACACGTTAGTATATAGTGAGTTAGTTGTTTTTCTTTCCTGATCTTTGTTTAGTTGTCTGTCTGATTGATTCCAAACTATATATATTGCCTTTTTTTTTGTAGTATTTGTTTGGTCGCTGATTTGGTTGTTATTTTCTTTTCTTTTTTGTTTTTTATTTGGTTGGTCTGGTATGTGTACCACACCACCAATATTGTTGTTTGCTCGTGGGGGTTTTTTTTTGTTTGTTGTTAGTATTGCTGCATTATGATATTGTTGCTTCTTCAGTATTGTTGTGATGATGAGTAATATTGGTGATTTTTTGCTTTTTTTTTTTCTGTGTTGTTGTTCTTCCACCGCCTTCTTTTTTTTTGTTGTGCGAAATGTTGTGTTATATAATACATCTTGTTGGGTAGTTGTTGTTGTAATTTTTTATTTTTTTGCTGCTATTTTTTTTATTATTATTTTTTTCTTTTTTAAAAAAAAAGTTTCAAGCAAACCAGAAATGGTCAAGCAAGAAAGCCTCTTTTGATTTGACATGGAACAACCCACTGTTGAACATTTTGATCTCTTGAAATGTGATGATTCCATCGTTTGCCAAATTACTTTTGTGGAAATGCTCTCATGATGGTGAATTGAGTAATATATCTCTGAGTCTATAGATTCATCCGAAACCAAAACACTGCTCAGCATTTTCTAATTCTATGAGACCTAATTTTACAGCTCAGTAAAGCTACCATACAGGTAATTGTTTTTACCTTCTGTCTCAGTGACAAAAAAAAATCAACAGTAGAATTACCCTGTTCACATCACAGTGTAATCTACCAGCAAACTGCCCAGATGTGTCTTATACATGTAAGTGCACTGCAGCAAACATTCAGCCAGGTTTGGGTGTCCAGCTTCATGTTTTCATGCTATCAACTCTTACAGTGTTCTCCGCCTCCTTAATGAACAAAACAAAATTGAGAATATATTTAGGAAAAATTGTGTCCCTCCATCCACTAGACTTCCACACATCTAAAAGAAAAATCAATAATGTGCCACGCAAAAGCTCATTTCTCGTGGTCTAATACTTTAGACACTATTACTTTAATTTTTGGCTTGCTGTATGCACACAAACACTTCACTTAGGCCTCCACCGCTGACATTTTGGCTCTACTATGTTTGACTCAACTGCCAGACTGCAACCGAAATCAGACTCCCTCACGAAAATTAAACAAACGTGCACTCACGCATAAATATTAACTCATACGAGCGCGCACTTAGCCCACACTTTTGCAGGGGAAACTCGCATGGACACGGGGAGACACAATGCAATTGAAAAACAGGGTGTGCCCCCTGCTGTTAACACCATCTTGTGTTTGACACTGGCTTTATACATATGCTAATTCACCTCCATTTCACCGCCACTGTAATAGATGGGGTGAGACCAGCAATTAGACACTAGAGAGAAAAAATCCAGTGAGGGAGAGAAGCAGAAAGAAGACACATATCTTATCTGGCCCACACAGATACAGAACCATTCCCTTTTTTCTTTTTTTTCTTTTTTTTACTACACAAGACACCTGCGCTTCATTCATAAATAAAACATTTAATCTACATCTGGATGAACTTCAGTAAAGGCCTAATACATTGTGCAAATGAAAAAATGGAACAAAACCCAAATGATAGAGATGAAAGACCATCAAAGCACGTTATCTTTGTTCCATTTATAATTACATAGGCCAGGCTAAGTTATAGGTTGAATGAATGTTACATAAATAGCCGTCATCACACACAGTCATTACCCCCTTGGGTTCTGTGTTTGTGACCACAGTGTGCGACGAGGGCAGCGTGCCCGGCGCTGTTTTAATTGGCATGGCGGAGTGCCAAATGATGGATGGATGGCTGGGTGGAGAGACGCACCGTGTCTGTTTCTGAGTCGATGACAGCCATCTGCCTGTTCCACAGGCTATTCTCAGTGCTGTCTGTTTGCCCACACGTGTGTCCTCGTGTAGTCACTTGTGTGCTCGCTCTGCTGGTTGTCGCTGGTTGCTGGTGTGTTTGTGCGTACGAGCAACTGCTTTATGTTCGCTACACAACCCGTGGCAACTCTGATTACAGCAAAGGACGGCAGAACTGTGAACATAACAACAGCTTTTTGTGTTCATATCAAGCCGTTATGGAGAAATCTTGTGCTTCTGGCCACTTGATGGAGTCAAGTGTTTTCTCTCCATAGTTTGGTTTTTTTTGGTCCCAAACAAACCCTTGAAGGAAACATCTGGCTCTTTAGTGACTAAGCGCTCCTCTGTGTTCATCAGCTAACTTTATCTGCCTTTTGTAAAGGGCAGGTAAAATGGGTTTTTAGAGGTTGTTTGCCCAAAACAGTCAGTCGTTTTCACAGAAAAAGGTGCTATATGAGCCGTGAGAGCGAACCACAGTACAGTTCCAGTCTTTAAGACCAAAACAGTGACTGACTGATGCTATAAAGCCCCGTAGAGTGGAGGGGAACTACAAAATCAGCTGACAATTGTCTCATGATTCATCACCAAAAGTGACCCTTTTCAGAGATGACACACTTGATCTGTTATTGGTATAAAAAGGATGCAACAGTCTAAACTTGCTCCAAAAAAAAGTCACAAAGAGGTAGCAGGAACCTGTAAATGGTTTCCATTTTTTGTGATAAATGTCTTAAAATGTTGATTTATTAAGCTTGTTGGCAGGTATTTTGTGCCTATTACTCAACATATCATTTCAGCTCGAGCGAGTTTTTGCACAGTGTTGCATCATCCGTCCACCAGAGCATCTACTCATTTTCCTCTGGTGTTATCTTTTGGTCCATCAGAGGAAACACACAGCTGTTTAAGTGCACACCACCGGCTCTGCGGAGTCTAACCTTCTCTTGTTTGCTTGTGTTTTTACAGCTCCTGGGCTTCGTGTACGCCTGTTATGTTGTCAGCGCCATCACCGAAGAGGAGGACAGCTGTGAGTAACTTAACACACTCACGTGCACACACACACACACACACACACACACACACGCTCATTCTTGAAAAGCAGCCTTGCAACAATGAGTGAATCACACCCGGACCCGCTCACACAGAGGAGATGGAAAACGCCTGAGTTGAGGGGAATAAAGCTGCATCTTTCTTCATTTCCCTGGTCTCCCATCCCACCCCACAACTCTCACTGCTCCAGCTCTCCCCTCCTGACTCCCTCCTCGTTCCTCCCCCACACCAGCTGGGCCCTCTCACTCTTTATCCCTCCAGAAACCAAAGAAGTCATGTGTTCCCTCTCCACACCTCCTTCAGCCCATTCTTTTCCTCTCCTCTCTCCTCCTTGCGTTCTGTGAGGTCCTTGCTGTTGGTTTCAACCTGTCATTTGCTTCCTTTTGATGCACTCTGGCTTCTGCTTTTCTCACTTTCTCCTTTTCGTTGTTTGCTTCCTTCCGCTTTTTTTTGGCTTGTTTGGGTTGTTTTTTTTTTTTTTTGTTTTTTTTTTTTTGCCTGCCTGACTTCTCCTCTTCGCATGGTTTGGCTTTCGGAGCTACTCAAATGTGTAGAACCTTCCTCTGAAGTTTTTTACATCTGTGAGGGTTCTAACTCTTTTCCTGTCATGCCTAAACAGGCAGGGAGTGGGGAAAAGGGTGTGGGAAAAGACACCAGGGGGGGACCAAGGAATGAGTCACAAGAGAAGATGGAGAAACCAGAGATGGACATTTGTGATAAATGGCCCAGCTGCTCTGACCTCATAGACAGCAGGTCAGAGGTCCTGCTGGAGGTTAGCCAATCGGAGGTCAGGAAACATTTGATCTGCGGATCAGCGAGAGTCATAAATATCTGATTAGCACTGCTGTAACTGTCTAGGACGCACAGCTATGTCCTCGTGCATGAGAATTTCCCCCCAAATATTCTAGGCCGCGGCTCGAAACAAAGTCAGTCAGATCAGTAATGACTGGAGTTATGCACCTTCTCTGAGAGGATTATCTGCGACTGTATGGAGTTACTCAGGTGTACGCATTCCTGCACACATGCTTGCTAGAATGCTAATTATCAAGTATCTGGAGCTCGGTTGTATTCGTGTCTGTTTTCTAGACACCTGAGCTTTAATTTGATTTGAAAACAGAGCAATGAACAAAGCACTACATGCCCCAATTGCATTTTAAAGAGCAGACTCTTGTAATTTGGGGGAGCTGTGATGTGGTTTCTGTGTGTGTTCCTGAAGACCAGTATTACAGAAGCAGTTCTTAGGTGGTCACATACCAGAGACTCACTGGCTGTGAGTGGTTAGCACCACCACCCTACTGCCCCCCCTCCCCCCTCAACCCAGCGCAGGGCAGTACCACTTAATCACCAGTCACCCCTAAGGAATCCCTGGAAAGCAATACCATTTTAGCCAAAATACTTTTCCTCCCTGAACAACTTTTTTGCTTTTGTTTTTGGTGAGCCAGCGAGCTCCATTCATTCCCCGCGTTGGTACAGATTGTGTTTAAAATCACATCAGAATCAGATAAAAAAAGAGAATAACAACAACAACAAAAAGGTTGGTTTAGAAAAGCTGGAGGTGAAAACAGAACATGGTGTGAGTTTATTGTTGGTTTTAATTATCTGGTAGTTCTTCTCTGATCCAAGCTGCGCCAAACGCTGCTACATCACTTCCGAGTGCTTGCTCTTTGTTATTGTAATCAGCCCTTTTGCCAGCACACACACACATTTGTTCATGCAGACACAGGTGCGCAGACACACACACACACTTACGCCAACACAAAAAAACAGCTCAGGCACTTTTCTGCTCTCATTTTCTCCTTCCATTTGATGTGTAGATTAAAGCAACTCTCGGCGCTGCTGAGCTCCCCGGCTGCCTCAGCATCTCTCCTCCTACTCAGAACTTTACCTTCTCCACACTCTCTCCGCCGTCGTTTGCTTTATTTCACTTCCCAGTTTTCTTTTTTCTTTTTTTTTTTTAATCACAAGTAGACGAAGAATCGTGTGTCAGAAATTCAATTTTAGTGTGTTTAAGAATTCCTCGCTCTCCATCTGGATCTCTTTATCCCCCCCCCCTCTCTCTTATCTCTGGCTTTCGAGCTTTAATGAGGTGTGCTTGTAAAAAGTTAGAGGTCTCTGGTCACTCGTTGTTTCAGCCTCATTAAGCGCGTTGCTGGTCAATAACTGCCACAGCTGATTGCTCCTCGGTAAGAGAGGAAAGGTAGGAAGAATCCTCAGGAGAGAGGAGGAGGAGAGGGGAAAGATGATGAGGAGGGGGTGAGCGCAGGGAGGTGTTTATCAGGTACGAGTCGAGAAGGGAAAAAAGGAAAAAAAAGGAGACGAGCCAATATGCAGGAACAAACAACGCAAGACAACATGAGCTTTTCACGAATAAGGAGATGAGACAGGAATTCCTCTCACGTGGAGCACTTTCTCTCACTCTCCAGGGAGAAGACCGAGTTAGATTTGAGTGCTCAGGCTTGCGTAAAGAATAGCGCAGTGAAACACACACAGACACACACACACACACACACTCGCAAAAATCCAAGAAGACACAATGGGCAGAATAACAAGCATCATATACCATCAGCTCAGGGTATGACATGGCTTTCAGGCTTTATTACTGATACAGTGTGTGCGTCTGTGTGTATCTATGAGTGTCTGTGTGTGTGTGTGTGTGTGTGTGTGTGAATGATCTCCCTTTTTGATGCCACTCTCCTCCTCTGTCACTTTTGTGAACGCATGTATCCGTGTACGCGCACTCATTCCAATCCACTGTATGTGCTGCGTTTGTGTGTTTAGCTGACTGTATGTGACTGACTGACTGTTTGTAGGTATTTGTGTGCATGAATTTGTTACACACGGTTATCTGTGGTGAGCAGACACACCGGCAGAGTGAGTGGTGGGGAAAATCCTCTTTGTAAAGTAGGTCATGGAGTTAGCCGCCTAGCACTGGGATAAGCGCGCTTTAGCTTGTCTGCTAATTATGCTGCCGCCCCCTGTGCTGAGTCACATCCGCAGAAAATCCTCCACAGCAGACGGAGCATCTGGAGGGATGGATGGATGCACGGATGTGCAGGTGGCAATATGTCTGCAGGCTGTAAAAAGTGTGAAGAGGTCAAAACAGAGTCTCAACCTTTTAGTTCGGAGCTCTGCAGAGGTTTCAGGTGCTCCAAATATCCTCCATGACGCATCCAGGAAGATGTCTTATCAGATTCATTTGTTTATTTTGCGAGCCAGGAATTGACAGATTTAGACATTTTTGACACAACAATAATCTTTTCAATAGAATTACTCGAACCCCTTACATTTTTTTGTATGCATGCACAAAGTGTCAGGTGCAGGTAAGAGCAGCCATCCATAGCGACTTAAAGCAGTCCTCAGGTCGGCTTCCAGCTGGTTTTCTTCATCTCCAGGAGTGTGTGTGACAATATAGACTGCATTCACTTACATATCTGTGTATTATATATGTGTTTAACCTGTAAACCTAAACGTGTCATTGTAGTTCAATCGGAGCCTTTCCTGATCAACTTTATTATGTATTCTCAACCCATATTCTAATACAAAATATAACTCCATGGAGCTCACATTTGCTATTCTCATCATGACTGATAAACGGCTATGCAACTATGGCGGAGTTATGCAAAGTCTTTTCGCACTGGGTTTATAAATTTGATCCATTTTGTCTCATGCAGAATTATTATGATGTTGTTTTTTTTAGTAGATTATTCTGTCTTGTTTTTTAGAGGTTGATTTACATCAGAAACACAAGTTAGAAGCAAATCACAGCCACCGGCATGTTTTTAAATAAATAATCTGTATCGTTACAACTTTATTATCCACAAAATGACTATATGCGACTGTTTTTGCAGCATTATTATGATTATTGTATAAGTGACAGTGAGCCAGCTAGCACAATACCAGGACCCTGAAACAGACAGATGGAATTCAGCCATCATTCATTTTATTCAGGGCTGAAATAACAGATTGATCCCAAAACGAATAATTCTGCCAATTTATATTTTTAATTTAATTAACAAAGCTGATGAAAAGTCATAGAATGCCCGTTCCAGTTTTCAGCATAAAAGTCTTGTTTTGCCCAACCACCAGTTCCAAACCCAAAGGTATTCAGTTTATATTATTACTAAACAGAGAAAAAGCAGCAAAACCACTCCTACTGCTTTCCTACCGAGGCCGTCTGAGGACTGATTTGGAGCCTCAAACTAGTTCTTTGCCAAAGAACTGGCTCTCGGCTCAAGAGCGGCACCAACACTTTGCTGGTTTAGAATCAAGAACCAAGCAGCTAGTCGAGGGTTGACCAACAACACCAAGTAAAACGTGGTGGTAGTTACAGAAAAAATAACAAAAAAGAAAAAATGTGTGCCCCCCTCCAAAAAAAATCAAAAATAAAAATAAAAATTTGACCGAAAAGAAAAACCAGAGCTTTAGCATGGGTATGAAATCAACTCAGCTTTGTGTGGAAAGCTGGTGAAGTCATTATTCGTGTCATTTTCCTGCCATTTGATGTTTGATTTTGCCAGCTGGCATTTTTAGACGCTGTTGCAAATGCCAGCTCATGGAGTGGCGTTCACAAACACCGACTGCCATTCGCAGCGGCATTTATTAACACCTACTGCAGATATTAAAATACTGAGCAGCTTTCCAGCAGCGGTTTGTGGGAGAGACAAACTGTCTATTTGAACTTTGGTTCTCAACATAAGTTCAGACTAAACTAGTTGCAAAAAAAAAAGGTGTTCAATGAGACGTATACATTGATGTAATGACGTGGCTCTACGGTGGCCTCTCGCCTGTGGAAAAGCAAACTGCTTCTCATGTTGAATCAACTCCGAACCAGCTCTGGCACTGGCCCAGAACCGGCGCATGGTTCATTTTGGTGAAAGTGTAGTGACAATGGAAGAGCTGAAGCCAGAGAAAGGTTGCTGAAGAAGTGACATGTTAATTAAAAAGTCTAACATTGTACCAAAAGTGAGCATAGCAACGTAAAAAAAAACAAAAAAACATACTGCATCAGCAAGGTCTGAAATTTTACAGTAGTTAGATCCTTCCAGATGCGCTATCCAAGCTTTTCTGCAGAAGCACAAAACCAATGGCGGTGGTCAGCCAAGGATGCCGTGAAGCAAAACAAAAGATGGCAGCAGATGGTGTGGACAGATTTTAAATGTTTGACTGGAGGATACAACAAGTATGTGTGCTGGCAACAGTGAAACATGCTGGAAGTTCCTATCAGGTCCAGGGATGGATTTCTGCCAATGAAGTTGGGAATGAAGTCAGAATGAGCAGTTTTCTCATTGCTGACATATTCTTGTGTCATATTCTGATCCAGTATGACGAAGGAGGCGTCTGATTGCTGCCAGATTCATTTTGCAGGGTTTGGTCAGAGATATAGCTGCAGTCACAAGAAGGACAAGGGGTCCGCAGCAATAGAAATTGTTTATTGCATTAATTTTAAAAGCATGATTAAACATACACAGATTGCAAACATTTTTTACAGCTATTTTTCATTTATTATGTGACTGCAGTTACATGGATAATGGACTCAATCATACACAAATTACTATGACTCAAAGAAGGTGGCTCTGGATATTAGCGTAGCTTAGCAGCATCATCACCGAACTAAGTTTCCAGTGACTGTCTTGTTCCGTCTTTGCCTTCTCATCCTTGCATGGATAATTAACTTTAAATACACTCTCAATCAAACGTGCCCAAAGTTTTCATATGCAAAGTAACAAAGCATAAAACGGCTAAACCGCTCTTTAAAGTAAATGAGTGGCCTGTATAGCGATGATGGCTGTGTAATGGTGTGTGAGAGCAGATATGCAGAGAGCCAACTCTAAGTGTGTGTGAGAGAGAGAGAGGATGAGAGAGAGCAAAACCACAACTGTGTCTTGTAACTCACCTCTTCCAGCGTTAATACAGACTCTGAATCTGTCTACCCTTTGTCTCGCTCACTGTCTCTGTCTCTGCCTTTGTTTTCCTTGATCTTCCCCACGCTGAACTCTTTTATTCTCACCAGCTCCATTTTTTTTTTTTCTTTTTTACCTCCCGGTCTTTTTCCCTTTTATATTGGTGCCTGCATTTAATTCCAGTGTCGGCTCACCAACACTTCACACAGACACACATGGTGAGAGTTGCTGCAGTATACTGACTGTCAGTGTCTCTCCCGGTCCTCTGATTTCAACCAGTTTCCACTTGAACTGAAACGTAATCGCCTTATATTACTCGCTGCTTGTTTAGGGGCACCGCATAGATGCCTTAACTATTGACCTACATACCTTTCATTTCTTGCATGTGTCTACACACGGGAAAATCAGCTTGCTCGCTCTGCCTGGAAGAAACCGATCTCGCGTCTTTCAGCATTTAGAGGATCACACACATCAGTCAACACTCTGTTTCCAGTGCTACTATATGTAGCTGTATTTTGTGTTTAAAAGTTTTCAGTTTGAATAGTTTCAGATCATTAAAAAAAAAAAGTTTGCCACCCTGAATGTCAGAACAGTAGAAAAGTGCTTCAATCATCTGTTCAGAATGAAAAAGCCACTTGAGCTTGTAGCTTTTCCGCCGTTTCATCACAGCAGCTTTTCACATTGGTTTTCTAAGTGTTGCATCGACACAGATCTCTTCAGTCTGAAACATTACAATGAGACATTTAATGTTACTGGATATTTCTCTATTTGCACAAAAAAACACTGCCTCGTGCTTATTTTCACAGATTTCTCAAGCTTCGAGGCTCGGTGAGCTCAGGTCAGGGTCAAACCAATGCATGTAGTTGTTAATCGGAAAGGTCTAACAAGGGACAAGCAATTAACTGGCTGGTGTACTGTATAGTAAGTAGGAAGGATGGAGATCAGAGTTACAAATGGACCACTTAATAAGGTGCTAACTAATGTTTTGACACGCTGTATGTCTTTATTAGAGTAAGAACCTGGGTACATGATGCGTGACAGGAATTTGCCTCTACATTTCCCAATGACTTGAAAGCGAGAAAGCTGACCCCGTTTGTTGCGCCAGATGAGAAGCGAAGGGATCACCAAAGCCGTCGGGGTTCCTCCTCTTGAGACCTCGAATATCTGTGTCAAATTTCACGACAATCTATCAAAAAAGTTGACATGATACTTCACTCTGAACCACGGTGTTGGATTGATGGATGGATTGGCCCCACCGACATTGCCCTCAGTGTGCCTAAAAACGGCAGCCATCATTATCATCTAACTGTATTCCTCGGCACAGTTTGTCATGGCGGGGGATGGATTCCCACCTGCTTATAATGAGAAAATCATTGATACAGAAAAGAACAGAGGAGAGGTCTTTCTGTGTGTGTGTGTGTGTTTGTGTGTGTGTGTGTGTGTGTGGGTGGCATGTATCTGGTGTGCAGATGAAACTGTGATTCCCAGGAAACCAGGGCAGGGTCAGAGGAAAGGGACAGCACAGCTCAAACCTCCCCGCGGCTCTCTCTGCGCTCCTCATCCTGCCTACCTATCAGTATTCACCAGACCACCCCTGCCTCCTCTTATCAGGATTGAACTGATTTGGCCTTACAGTAGTTTCCACGGCTGGCTTATGTGTGTGTTTTTTTCCCTCCCCTACAGCTGTTGGTTCCCAAAAAGTAACGGATCTGCCCATTTTCTGTTATTCTTTTGAACTTCTATTTGTTTGGTTCCTTTTTTTTTTTTTTCCATTTCACTTTCTCCTCTTCCTCCCCTCCTGGTGTTTACAGGAGACTCGCTGCTCCTGGACACACTGGCCACTTTCACATGCACTCCTTGGACTTAATCTCCCCCCAACGTCAGTCAGACTGACAAGCGTGACTCGCCCTGTCCTCCTCCCCCCTCTCTCTCTCTCTCTCCCACTCTGTGTCCCCTCAAAAAGCCGCCAGTCTTTTCCTCCATCCCCCCCCCCAAAAAAAAATCTCTCTTTTCCATCTGAAAAAAATACACAGCACTTTGGCACCGGCTTGTCCTTCCCTTTCTCGCATGACATAACACCCGTTCGCTCGTCTGCACCTCGCCTAGAGTCTGAACTCTTAAGTGAGAAAATAAACAGAAAGGGTTGAGCGTTCATTTGGTGACTGAAGGTCACCTCTGTTTCTGAGCGATAAAAAGGCTTAGCCTATTTTGACAGCTGGCAAGCTTTCACCTGTTCCCGAGCTTTCCCTTTGGCTCGAGGCAGATGCACAGATGAAAAAAAGTTTAAGCGGGGTTGTTTTTTTTTTTTTTTCATCTCCTTTTGTGGACTTTGTCAAAGTTAAAACTAAAAAAGACTTAAAGCAAGTACTGTTCCTGGCAAGCTGCCTACCTTTCAGCATCCCTGCATCACATCTGGTCCCACTGTGTCTTTTGTTTCCATTTCATTTCTCATTCAGGTTGTGTCTTATCTCTTTTAATCATCTTTTTTTTTATTTACCTCAGTGTCTTATTGAGTTGTTGTCTGTCTTTTGATTTACTCCATAATTCATGTGTTTAATCCTTTTGTTTTCAGTTGATTTTATTGGTGGATTTGACCCATTCCCACTCTACCATGTAAATGAGAAACCATCTCATTTCCTCTTAAAGCCCATGTACCTGTAAGTATGAGTGTAATCTCATTCCATTATATATGTATTCATCCCTTAATGTGTTCAAAGTGTGATCATGACAGCTGATTTATGTTGACAGTTACTCTTTTTGCAGCATTTTGTGGTCACATAAAGTTTGTGTTGTATCCATTTGGTAATTGTTTTGTCTTTTAGGTTACACTCTTCAATTTCCTGAAACTATTCAGTTTAAATTAATCTCAAGTTAAGACCTATTTATGTGTTCATCCTTGAGATTTTTTGTGTTGTTTTTTTTTTATGTTATTTGTTCAGGGTAAGGCTCAAGTGATTGCAACACAGCACTGACTAGCCGATACCACGCAGGGGGTTGCTCGCTCGCTATCTGGAGCGTTGAGTCATGTCTGGGGAGTAGACTACTGTCTGAAAACATGCTACATCCTGTCAGATTGCTTTGGGGGAATATAAAGGTTTTTCATGGCACTGTTGCGGCTTTGTGTGTCTTGTGTATATATATATATATATATACATACACAGCCATCATATATATATATGCGGTTGTGTGTGTGCGTCCACACTAGCCCGCAGGCAGTTACTGGTAAAGGCACATTGAGAAAAACATACAAAATTCTGTCTAAAATTGGATTAATCAATTAAGTTGTGCAGAGAACTTAATAACAATAAGCCTGGGAAGTCATGTAATAATTCTCTGCCAACATGAAATGAATATTTTATTAGCTTCTTGACAGTTTAATCAGCTCCGTCTCTAATGGGAGGGAGGAAGTTTTCGTCTCCCCAACCTACTGGGAGTTATATCCTGAATAAATTCATCCAGGGGAAATGTGTGTGTGTGTGTCTATATATACATGAGTTGCCCAACAACTGCTAACCCTCTGCCCTTTTTTTTCTTTCCGTGTTTTTGTCCTCTCCAGGTCTACGTAAATAGGAGAGCGTTCAGCAGGGAGGTGACACAGCGATTTCTCAAAGAGACGAAATGGGTGTTTTGACACAAACATCCCAGTGCACTTCGGCACACCAGACGTTCCTCCCCCTTCTTGATTTCAGTACTTTAAACATGTCATTTACTCGTGCGCTGCCCCGAAAAAGCCAACATTTCTCAGTTAGGGTCCTTTGTGACGGGTTCAGGGAACGAGGGATTTACAGTGTAACAAAGCGTGTATTTAGAGGTGTTTGTGTATCAATCATTTTCGTTGTGTTGAGCGCTCTGCTGAGATCCCCGTCGCTGCTCCACTCCCCGAGACCGTGACTGTATAGAACATGTACAGCTAATAAATACGTTGTGTATGTAATCAGGGACTGCCCAGCATTCCCAGTCTGTGGTGCTGTGTCTTAGAGGACTCAGTGATTTAGCATATTACTGCTGGTTTGGCTCAGATCTTGGCCGAAGGGCTGAATTACAGTGGGAGCCTGTGGAATGAGCCATTGTGTGCTGCCTGTTTACTTTAGGCCAGGATCTGCGTGCATAAATACAGACGCAAAGCAGGAAGAGGCAGGGGAGTAGAGAAGTAGAGTGCGGGGAGGGAACAAAAGCCCCAAACCTACAGGGGCATCTTGTCAAAAATAGAAAATGTAAATAATGAAACTAAGGGGGGGAGATTTTTTTTTTTTTTTTATGATGCAGAGTTTTGCAGTGTGAACTATCAAGAATGCAAAAGAGCGTTAGCCTGTAAGAGACGTTCAAACGCAAAGAAATGGCATGCGAGTCTTACTTTTATTTCTGGAGTCTTATTGTTGTGACTATTTTCACCAACAGCAAAGTCAGTATTTCTGAAGTGTCAGGTGTTAGATGATACGCTGAAAAGATTTTATTTTCAGATCTCCTCTTCCAACTCCTGACAGATGTGGCATAGGTGATCATTACACACGCTCAAGCAAAGGTTACACGGCGTATTTTTAACTTGAAGACAAACAATAGGAATTGTTTTACTGTTCGTGTTGCGCACAACAGTGTTGAGTCATTTGGGTTTTTGGTCTTCAGCGTAGAAGCAGCTTCACCTGAATAGATCAGAGCGTTGTCTCCTGTCAGCTCAACAGTTTAAATTCTCAATGGTGATAGTCTCGGTTGTGATCGTTTTCTAGCATGTTTTTCTTTTTAAACAGGGTTTGTATTGTAATTATGTGTATAGCATACTGAGTAATAACAAAATAGCAAAACTGGTGTCTTTAACTGGCCACAAATGAGCTGGTTGAACTGTAACTGAGAGCTTTTTTTTATGGAGTTGTGTCATTCTTGGATTTGTTGTATTCTGACCCAGCAACATGATGACTTCTCTGAGTGTAGAAACATGGGTCATATCTCCTATACTGATTTGCAGCACTTTTTTTTTTCTCGAACTGGGATATTGTCTCTAACACCTCCTGTTGTCTTACTGCCTGTGTGAATCACTGCTGTCCCCTGGTGGTTAAAGTGTTCATGCACAGTTTGCAAGGCTTCTGAGTTTCTGCTTTGTGTTGGATCTTCCATAAATCTCCATATTCTGTCATATATTTGTTTGCAGATGATAGTAAATCTTAAAACGGTATGCTAGTGTGTAATTTTCATGTAGGAAAACATTGGCGGAACAGTCAGTTCTATTCTACATCATTTAGATTTAGGATTTTTTTTTTGTCTCTCACTAATTTTGAATCTAGTGTATTTTCAGTATGTCATTTGTTTGGTTGCAATATTCTGTGGTGCAAAGACTGAACCTTTTTTTTTTTTTTAAATCAGAAGAGTTGTGAACAAAGAAGTTGCTTTGGATGATTTCGGTTCTTTTTGTCTTTTGTCAGCACCCACAAATATCAAGTGACTGTCAGATTCCTCTGTGATATTAGATGTACTTCACTGCCAGATAGACCGCCTACAAACTGTTACGATTCTGAAAAAAAAAATCATCCGACTACTTCTGCTACTACTTTCAGAATGATGAGAGCGAGCCACTTTGATTTGATCCGTCAGCTCTCTGTTTGAGAGATGCAATAATTTGTATGTCCTTATTGTCTTTATAATTTAAGGTTTGCACACTCCTGGTAGGCTAACTGGTGTGTGGTTAGTAGAAACACAAAGCACCTCATATTGTAACATTATCAGTATTAGCAGCGAAATGCTAGTAAAATTGTTATGTAAAAAGTAGTCTTCCTCTCAGTGCAATACAGCCTTTTCCTAAGCCCGAGTGACTGGTATTAGGTGGAAGCTGTCATGGTTGTGTATGTGCTAGTCTCCACTGAAAAAGATTCCACCTCTTTGTAGATAAGTCTTTTTCTTTTTATAGGAAGTGGAAAAGATTATTTTTCTCCTCTGTTTTGTGTCCTGTTTTGCTCTAACCCCATGTGACCCGACTGTGTAATCCTATTTATCCAGAACTGTGCTTTGTGTTCATGTAAATAGGTGTTTGTTAATAATAATAAAAAAGAATGTGCTCTTTTAACAGTCTTTTGTGTTGCTTTGTATGCATTTTTTTTTTTGTTGGTGTTTTTGCTGGGGTAAAAATAAATATATTATGATGACAGCGCACAAGTGGAACAGCTTGAAATATTTATTGTAGAAAATAATCTGTACACTCTTACAAAACAACCGGCACTCTTTCTTTTTCATCAGTACAAGGGAAATTGAGTGCAGTGGAAAACTCAAGGCCACTCATGCAACACCTGTATAGTGGTGGCTTTTCACTACAGCCTCAGGACATGAAAGCACGAACGCTGCCTCTGATGACAGCTCTGCAGATGGGGCAGTGACGCAGGCTGGCAGCACAATCACCACAAACCACCAGATGACCACAGGGGATGAAGACAATAGACACCAGCTTGTCCATGCACACTTTACACGTCCTCTCCTCCTGCAGCTGCCTCAGCAGCTCCTCTGGACTGGGGTCCTTCACTGCTGGAGAACACACGTACGCAAACTGTTTGTTGAAGCTGAGCATAGTGACTGGAGCCTGATCATTGCAGGATGGAGCAACCATACTAAGAAAAGCATTACAAGGACAAAAGTTGATTTATTGCAAAAGATTAACATGTTGAACTGACCTTTCTCTCTGATGGGTGTCTGCGTCCTCACATTTCCTGCACTGGATCCTTGCCTCACGTCTGGCTCTGAAGAATAATTTAAAAAGTCAATCATGCATATTATGAACTCGGACATCCACTGTAACGTTGACATGTGGGTTAATAGTAATTTTAACAAATGGGAACAGTAGAGGTTACATTTCCCTAAAGTATATTATAAGTATACAAGTACATTACAAGTCGTCAAAAACGTGGCTGACTGGTCTTTTAGCAGTTTTTAAATTTAAAGGGTTCCCTGTTGAAAATGGCAGGTTCTGTAGCTGTCTTTGGTGGATGAAATAAATAACTGGAAGAGCACTTCAAGAACACATTATCAACCAATGCAAAGGCCTTATCTTGCAGTTTTAAATTATTGTTAAGAAAGTGAAGAATCTGCACATGAAACCAGTGGGTTTTTCATTTCCCCATGCTCCACTCCCACACAAACTTTTGTGAAATTCGGCTTGTTAGTTTTGTTATTCAAAGACAAACAAACGGACAAATTGTGCTAGAATCATACCTCCAACTCGAGTCTTGTCTTGGAGGAGGAACAAATTAAAAAAATACTGCCTTGAAAATCTTAACTAAAAGCCAAAAAAATATAGTGAACAAATTGTTGCTTAAGGAGCCAAAGGAGAACAACTAGTTCTGTAGAAAAATGGCCCTTGACTTTTATTATATATAATTAAAATAGATTTGTCAATTTGTGAGCACAATTTTATTGCCGCTGTTTGGTCAATGTGGAGCTACATGTATCAACTTTACAGTTTGGTGCTTGTATCCTCCAGCAGGTCAGAAAATAAATGTTAGGGTTCATAAGGTGGTTAATGCAGTAGGAAAGAAGGAAAGGAGTAGAGGTACAAATCTTTATACAAATGGCACAGTGTGAAATATTGAATAATTTTACCTCCCTGAGCCTCAAAATGGGATTTAAATGAAACTATCCAACAAGTTTAAAGGAAACGTCTCTCTGGAACTGCTAGGCATTTGTAATGTGACCCCAGCAAGACACTATTTTTTGTCAAAGGGTTTGGTGAAAAAAAGGTAGAAAACCACTAATTTAGTCTTTTGCAATGTCTCATATTTGGAAAATCTTATGTAATTAGTAAGTAGTTGCTTTGGCTGTCAAATAATGACTTAATAATGGAGGAAAGACGACATTTTCACTTGAATTGTAGTGGAATAGAGGTACCAAGTGGCAAAAACGGGATTACTCAAGGAAAGCACAAATACCTCAAAATTGTACGTAAGTGTAAGTACTTGAGTAAATGTACTTCCCACCACTGGATGTTACCTCTGCTCTGCGGCCCTCTGTGTCTGTCCTCCTCCTCTGCGTGCAGCACATCAGTGACCAGGTCAGATACAGATGTGTAGTGCTGGCCCGTCAGAAGGTACTTGGTCTGGACCAGACTCTCCACCAGGCTGGCTTCAAACCCCATCTGCAGCACAGTCTGCACCACGGGAGAAAGCATGGCCGATGACGCTCCCAGACCTCCGACCATATCTGAGTGATGAGAGGAAGATAAGAGACACAGTGCAGTGACCAGTCGCTGGGTGCCATGTCAATTTTACACTTGTCCAAGCGGGACACGTTATACAAATGTACAAGACAAGCGGGGAAATGAATGAGTACTTGTGCAGCTTACCTTTGCCGGCCGATATATTACAAATTTCAAAGCACACACCTCCTCTGTATGTGCGCTGAAATGGATTATAATTGTGCTTCCTTCATTGTATGGAATAATTGCCCTCTCATAACTCCCCTGCAACCATGAGCAATCGTCAAATGGTTTCCATAGCACTCCCTAATTACCGCAATCCAAGAGCAAACATTAGCTCAGGTAATTTAACATCCATTAATTTCATTTTCGGCAGCCTTGCAAACCAAAGAAATGGAGCACCTTTCCTCCAAAGAGGATCTACTCAGTGGCTAATTTGAGATTTTCCAATAGAGCTTGTGTAAGGTATGCTTTCATCCATCAAATCAGTATTTCAACCAAAGGGGGGTACGCCCAGCTTGAGATAAGAATAATTAAATCAAATGGTTGCAGCCTTTATTTTTTCCCTTTGTGCAACCTGCTGCGCATCTCAAAATGTTTGCTCATCTTTCCCCCTTTTATGTGAACAAGCAGGAGTGCATTCTGACACTTTGATTCTTTGCAATGCAGGATATACAAAGATAATTGCTGGCATCAAAGCAGGAGGCCACTATATTGTAATTCATGTCTGCTTGGTAGGAGTCATATTTGTTCAGGTTCTTGGTACATAACGATCATCTTCTTCCCTTGTTTCATACGACTTACCGTTCCTGGAGCCAATATCTCTGCCTGTGGGAGTCTGTGATCCTCCCTAGAAAAATATATGACATTTTGAGTTTACAAAGAGAACTGTGACTCATTTAAGTGCAGCAATGACAAACTCTCATTCAGTAATGTGTAGTTATAATGTCTCCAATGTTAAATTGCAGATGCTATCTTAAAGGAGATAAAAGGGATAAGGCTCTCACCACTGTCTCACCCAGATGGAAATGAGCATCCTGTATGTTGCTGATATACTCCTGCCCTCTCACCTGGATTAAGAACTCACATCTGAAAAAAAAAAACACAAAAGAGGTGTTTTATAATATGCAAAAAATATCTATCTATCTATCTATCTATCTATCTATCTATCTATCTATCTATCTATCTATCTATCTATCTATCTATCTATCTATCTATCCTTTGGATTTTGTGCCACATACCTGCTCAATCAGTTTGTATTAAAATGTAGTCTATATGTTTTGTTGTATTTTCGTTACATACAACTACTGTACACATGGTTCAGAAAACATCATTAGTTGACTTCTGCATTACTAATTGTTTTTGTTCATTTGTGCTTCGAGATGAGACTTTTAATGATGGCTTCAATTGTATTTCAAATTTCAATTCACACATAATCCTAAACTATTGAATCTACGTGTCTACTTAACATTGCAGATTCTGAACCAGTTGCGTGATGAGAAATGACAGTTAAAGGGGCTGTAAACTTTAATAGTCACTGAGATATTGTCATCTAAGCATTGCCTCAAAATTCAATGCCGAAAGTGGGTCGATGGGCAACGTTTTAAACATTTTATCTCAGAAAGTATTTGATACATCAAGCTACAATTTAACAGATATCATTATAAATATCCATGTTTTGCGTTATGACCATTTCTGGCAAATCAGACATGGGCAAGCAGAAACTGCTGTAAAAAAAAAAAAAGTGTGATGATTTAAAATGGAATAACTGTTGCAGGACTAATTTTTCTTGCTGCAGAATGAACTGATCTGGAGCTGATCAGCTGCCTCTCTAATGGTACTGCATGAATCTTGACATTTAAAATGTCTAAAACCTTTGCACAGTACTCTATGTAATAAAATGCCAAATTATATATCCTGATGATGTCTTTATATCTTCCCGTAAAAGCCTTGTTGTTACCGTGGGAACCATTTGGCATGTTCCTGCCAGGGGTCGTCGCCTGGCTCCCAGTTCCTCAGTCCTCCATCACAGTAGAAGCATTTGACGTTGTCACCGTGACCTGCATCGATGTATTAAACTACTGTGAAAAGGAACTGAACACGCAAATCCACTGACATCTTTGCAGCTTTACAGTAAATATAGATAAAGGCCAATGTTGTCCAAAAAGATACACGAGTCAAATTGTACAAGGAGTTCATCAAATCTGTAAAACTACAATAAAGGTGAATCAATGCTTATCTGACACAGTCTAAAATAAAATCAACACTTTCACAAAAACATTATTTTGTATTTGTTTCCATGATGATATTGTGTCCACAACCTGTGTATTGCCTGAAGCTGTACAGTCCTACTTCTTTAGCAGCCCCAGCTTTGTCCAGGTTGTTCTGTCCACAACATCATGACTCAGCAGGACAATTGTACCATGAACTCTCTAACATAGAGGGCTCACTCTAGCAGTGACTGGATCAGTGCTGAATATATTTCCAAAACATGCTAATGTATTCTCAAATTTTGCACAAAAAAATAATAAAGAAAGGAATTGATTAGTTTATACATGTTTTTAAGCCTTACAGTGAGACATTGTGTACCTGTGTAGAAAAATCCTGCTCTGGCAAGAACATCTGGCTGGACTGAGGCCTCGGTGGGCCAGTTGTGGAAAGTGGTGAGCCGGGAATCCTCTGCTTCCATCTCCGGGTAGACCGCTTGTCCAGCTGTTCCTTGGTCATCCATAGTCATCCTCTGGAGCTGACTCAACAGCTGGCCGTCCACAGAGTCTGAGGAGCCAGCTTGAAGAGGAACATTTCCCACAGCTCGACCCAGTATGAAGCAGCAAGTGGGAAAATGCCTCTTGTGCTCAGCAGCTGGGCTGTCCCCGTGTACCCAGCATCT